TCTCAGCCGCACTCATCTTATCTACATGTTATTTCTTGGTTGCCCAGCACTCCGTCCCATACAACATAGCTAGTCTAATAGCCGTTCTACAAAACTTACCTTTTAGTCTAGTGGGTATTCGTTTATCGCACAATACCCCAGACGCACTTCTTCACTTACACCATCCCGCCTTAATCCTATGGGCCACATGTGCATCAATCTCTCCCGCTGTTGTGATAATCGACCCTAAATAACGAAAATATTCACTCTTAGGCAGTTCTTGGTTCTCAATCTTCACTTCTCTTCTGCTTTCATTGTTACTGTTACTAAATTTACACTCCATATACTCTGTCTTAGTTTTGCTTATCCGGAATCCTTTAGATTCAAGAGATTTTCTCCAAATCTCTAACTTTGTGTTAACTCATTCTCTAGTCTCATCCACTAACACAATATCGTCTGTAAAAAGCATACACCATGGCACGTCATCCTGAATATTTATCGTCAACTCGTCCATAACTAAAGCAAAAAAGATAAGGACTTAAAGTAGATCCTTGGTGTAACCCTACAGTGATAGAAAATTTATTTGTCTCTCCAGCTGGCGATCTAATAGTGGTCACCACCCCATCATACATGTCCCTAATCATGTCAATGTAGCCTTTTGTTACCCCTTTCTTCTCTAACACCCACCATATTATATCTCGGAGCACTCTGTCATATGCTTTTTCAAGGTCGATAAACACCATATGAATGTCTCTTTTCTTTTCTTTATACTTTTCTATTACTCTCCTCAAAAGATAGATCGCTTCCATTGTTGACCTACCAGGCATAAACCCAAATTGATTCTCTGACACCTCTGTTATGTCTCGCAATCGACGTTCCATCACCCTCTCCCATACTTTCATTATATGACACATTAGCTTGATTCTTCTATAGTTGTTACAATTCTGGACATCACCTTTATTCTTATAGATTGGCACTAAAATACTCTTCCTCCACTCATCTGGCATATTCCTAGTTAACAAAATTTTGCTAAACAACCTAGTCAACCAAGCAACTCCCTTTTTATCCAAACATTTCCAAGCTTCAATAGGGATATCATCAGGTCCTAAAGCCTTATTTGATTTCATCTTATTAAGTGCAATCTCCACTTCAAAGTTCCTAATCCTGCGATAGAACCTATAGTCTTGGTTTATCGTATTACTGGCTATTTCTTCTCCTATTGTCGTACTTCCATATTCCTCATTTAACAGTTTCTCAAAATAATTCTTCCATCTTTCCTTAATCTCATTATCCTTCACCAATACCTTAGAATCCTCACTCTTGATGCACTTTACTTGATTAAAATCTCTTGTTTTCCTCTCCCGTATCTTAGCAAATTTGTATACCCTATTCTCTCCCTCCTTACTATCTAGTCTAGTGTATAGGTCATCATAAGCTTTCAACTTAGTCTCTCTCACTACTTTCTTGACCTCCTTATTAGCCAATCTATAGCTCTTAAGGTTTTCCTCAGTTCTATCCTTCTGCCATTTTTTAAAGTACTCTTTTTTTGCCTTAATTACCGTTTGAACCTCTTCCCTCCACCATTAAGTTTTTCTAGAGCTGGGTCCCGTTCCTTTTGACTCTCCAAGCACTTCCCTTGAGATTCTCCTCATACAATTGGCCATCGAATTTCACATAGTGTTAGCATCACCTTCTAAGTCCCAAGTACCTTCCTTATCCATTCGATTCTTAAATATTTCTAGTTTATCCCCTTTTAGGTCCCACCATCTCGCCCTACGACGCCCACCATCCTTCCTAGCTTGGTATTGCCCTCTAAAACATAAATCTAGTACCAAAATCCTATGTTGAGAGACCAGACTCTCCTCAGGAATCACTTTACAATCATTGCATTTTAGACAGTCCACTTTTCTCACTAAGAAGTAATCTATTTGACTCTTAAGTAATCCACTCTTAAATGTTATCAAATGCTCCTCTCTCTTCTTATACATAGTATTGGCCACCACCAGGTCAGAAGCCAATGCAAAATCTAAGAGTCTCTCTCCAGCCTCATTTCTGTCACCAAAACCGTATCCACCATGCACCCTTTCATAACCTAGTTTATCTATGCCCACATGGCCATTAAAATCTCCACCTATAACCAGGTTCTCTCCTATGAGTATCTCCTGTAAGATCTCATTCATTTGCTCCCAAAAATCCCTCTTAGTCTGAACATCTAACCCTACTTGAGGGGCGTAAATGCTAATAATGTTCACTATATTCCCTCCAATAACTAGTTTAACTAGCATAATCCTATCTCCTTTCCTAGTGACCGCCACCACACTTTCCACAAGACCCTTGGCAATTATGATTCCTACCCCATTCCTGCGTCTATCCTTACCACTATAATAAAGTTTAAAACCAGTATCCTCAATTTTCCTAGCTTTCTCTCCTGTCCACTTAGTTTCTTGTATGCAAGCTATACTAACTCTCCTCCTAATCATAACATCTACCAATTCCATCGTCCTCCTAGTTAAGGTTCCTATGTTCCAAGTGGCTACCTTAAACCTACAGTCTTGGACTAGCTTCTTTACCCGCGCTCGTTTAGAAAAACGCGGAAACCTTTGCCCATTTTTCACCAAACCTAAGCGTCGATGCGGCGCCCCTTGCACACTTTTTGAAACACCCGGAGGTAGACGCAACGCGTCACTTGAGGGGAACGACCTAGCATTTAAAAGATTCAAAATAAGATTCATTTTCATAAGGGATCCGAGCGGCTTTTTTACGTGTTGGCTATCGGCTACCTAACACACAACTCTCCTCCTTAACCCGGGCTTGGGACCAGCGGAGTTGTTAGAAAAAACAGATACAACAAGAAAAAAAAAGAATATTGCATGCAAACAGTTTGTGAAAGAAGTGTACACAGTAGACAATAAGCAGAAAGAGAGCAGAAGAATAAGAGAAGCATCAAAGGGGGTAAGTGGCGGTAGACCTAGAGGAGAGAGAGTTGAGCTAGCGATTGACCGGTCGGAAGACTGGTGGGACAACCGGCTAGTTGTCCTGGTGGTTGATCGGTTTGACAGATCATAACCATTTATGCTTCTCAGCTATTACATAGCAGATCGATTAAAGGATATACATACCACAGCAGTAGGAGTGGAATAATTGTCACCGGTGACAGAGTGGGTACAGTGGGTGGATGTACGCTTCTTCGGTAGGCGTTTGATTCGAGAATACGCTTCACAAATTGGCCTAACACACATAAATTGGGAATGAATTTGAGGATGTTTGAGGAATCAGTGAGTTGTAATTTAAAATTTGAGAGAAATTTGTGATTTAGTTGACCTCGGTCTTGTCGTTGTTTCGTTGCTCGGAGAGTGAATCTTCCACAACACACAAACTACAACTCACTTGATTTGTGGGAGCTGGCAGATGCGATTTTATGGGTGGAGAGGAGGTTCACAGACATAGTTTAGATTTGAAAGTCTCAGTTCACAGAGAGCAACACGACTCGTGAAGAATCTTGAGCTGTGATCGTTGAAAGAGAGAAAGACGACTCGTGAAGTTCAACTCTAAATTTCTTTCACGTGAAGCTTTTCAGAAATGGAAAATATCGAAGACATAGAGTATGTATCGTCGGAAGCTTTTTATATTGGAGAAACGAAGGGAGAAATCTGTCAAACGGAACGTAGAGATGTATTTTGAATTATATAGTGGAATTATGATTTGAAAATTATATCCAAACGTGAAGCGCAAATGTACGGGTGAAAATATATTTTGAGAATACAACCAAACATAGCCTTAGTTTTCTTTTCTTTTTTTTCTTTTTTTTGTGATACATTAGAAAGGAGAGCAAGACTTGAATATGTGATATCATATAGAAATATATCAGTTCACACCCTTTTCACAAAATCAAATGTATTTTCATATTATGCTTAGATGTTGAATTTGTATAGAAATTTATGAAAGAAAAAAAAGAAAAAGAAAAAGAGTAAACATATTTTAATTTATATTTTATTAATTTGTCCTTCTAATTTATTTTCCTTCAAAAAAAATAGCCACCAAAATTTTTATCTAAACACAATCACTACAAAAAAAATTGATTTTTTGCGACGGCAAAACGCCGTCGCAAATACCCCAAACGCCGTCTCAAAAGGGTTTTTGCGACGGTAAGAGGCTTTTTGCGACGGCAAAGTGTAGACGTCCCCGAATGCCCCGGGAGGAACGAGCTCCCGTTCCGTTCATTTTGGGGTCACTATAGCTCAGGACTCTCAAATTGTCACGGTTCTTAATCTGAACCAAAGAGTCCAAATCTGGCAAATCGTTTTGAGAAAAACAAATTATTTCAAACTTAATAATGACCACAATTGATCTATTTTTTTTGTTAATAGTATAATATATAGCCACACCTCTATTATATTATGAATGCGAGTATAATTTATCTAAATAAAAATAAAAATAATAATTACTTTGCTTGGTTCTATTTTTTAAAAAATATTTTTCAGAAAATCTTATTTTTTTGTTTTTCGTATTTTTTTTTGTTTTTACTGAATTTTTAAAATATTTTAATTATTTTTTTTTACTTTTTAGGCATACCTAACATAAATATACAGTAAAAAATTTGTGAAAAAAACCTTTTAAAAATTCACTAAATATCAAACAAATAAAAAAAAAACAAGAAATCAGTATATTTTTTGTATTTTTATGTATTTATTAATTTTTTAAAAATATTTTTTCATAAATTTTTCACTTTTTAGATACATCTAAGTAAACTGCATCTAAAAAAGTAAAAAAAAAAATAGTCAAAATTTTAAAAATATTCACTAAAAACAAAAAAAATACGAAAAACAAAAAAATTTAATTTTTAAAAAATTTAATCCAAAAAATACAAACCAAATCCACTGAATAATGTTATAGAAATAAAAAATTAATATAAAATAACATAGTTGAAATAAAAAGACATAACTATATTTCCTATATCGTTTTGTTGTAAATTTTATATAAAAATTGTATAAGTAAATCATTTTCGAGAATAAAATATACTACTTATATATTTTCCCCAATTTCTTCGGTCCATCTTCATCGAAATTTCGAAAGATACATTATTTTATTCAACCCCGATTGTATAATTTCAGTGAATTCATCAATCAATATCGTAGAGATAAAGCGTGATCAAACTCAAATTCTTCAGAAAAATCACTGTAATTCAGCGCCTTTACGTAAAGGGTTTTATTAATTTTTTTGATAATTATTATCTTTTTGCGCGATATCTTATTGATTTAATTGCTGTTGATGTTGATCTACATGTTTACATATCTAAATGGGTTGGGATGGATTTGATTTGTTCATATCGGTTAGGGTTAGGGTTTGGTTTTGTTGGGGGGATTGGTTGAATAGGTAGGAGGCCGATTCGCTTACTTCAGGACTTGATATTGGTTTTGTTCGAATTTGAGGTTTTAGGGCTTGAAAAATTCACTGACTTTGGTATGCCAGGAAAGTTCAATTTTCATCACTATGCAAACTTCATATTAATTTAGCAAAAAGCTTGGTATTAAAAACTCCAAATGGATCAGGATGAAGGATCCATCTTGGTATCTGTTATTTATTTATCTTTTAAATTGACTTTTGAGTCTGAAATTTTTGTTTTATTAACAAGTTATATGTGATGTTAATGTTTACTATATATATGTATACTGATGTGCGGAGTGATTTTGAACATGGTGGGTTGTGGTTTTAGGACGATGGTGGATCCATATGATGCCACATTTGTTGTTGTTTACCGGGCAATGATTTTTAAACCTATGCCTTCATTTTCGCGCATATATGACTGCCTGAAGTTGTTTGGATCAATTGGAAGCTACATAATTTAACCTATTAGTCTGTGGTAAACTGGAGGTCCAAGCACTTCCTCTCTTTTTGAATCCCTCGACACACGTGCACATACATATATGATGGTTTTGTGCGTGCGTGTGCATTTTCTTTCGAGTCTTTGACTGTCTATGTGGGCTTACTTTTAACCTAGTTAAACTGGAAGATGTTTATAGTGGAAAGATGCTTACCATTAATTTTAGCCTCTTCATGATGTCAATTTTTAGGTGGAGATATTATGCACATGACTATTATCTGCGGTATAACTGCAGGTTTTAGGACTCAGTCGTGACTGTGGCTCAAGATATAATTAATAATTCTATATTCAAGGCTGTATTTCTTCAAGATTTGTAGGACAGTTCATTACTGAAATATATGTTGGATGCTTTGGAGCATTGCATGAGAGCTTGGTTTCGGGTTTAATTTTCATGTCCTAACTCTGATCAGTGTTGTAAAGATTCAGAAGCTATCAGTGCGAATATATTATTCACTTGGTGAGTATTCAAATAAATTGATGATACCTTTTCAACTTCAAGCTACTTTATTTTTTTAATTTTTTATACTTTATCAATCGTATCAGCTGCTTTGTATCCATTGTAGATTTGTATTTCTACAAAAGCCTGTGTGCATTGTCTTGTGTTATCTTCATTACCAAATGTTTTCATCCCACATTTCTGATTTCTGTTCCGTATCACAAGCCAGCAGCTCGGCATACTAATTCTTTTAGATGTTTATGTTTTTATATTTGTTCCATTTGTCATGTTCATCTTCAGCACTTATTTGGTGTGCTCTTTGTTTTGGAGAATGGGCATTGAGTAGGTTCTCTAATCTCTTAGATTAATATGGTGAGTTTATTATAGCAGCACAAGGCTGTTTGCTTTTAGACTGATGAAATATGAGTGAGTGATTAAGAACTATATTGTTTGAAGCATTTCTCTATCTCAGTAGATTTTAATTCATTAATGTTGGCCTTAATAGTTAGTGATTGAGTGAATGATGGGATGGAATGAATGGAATGCTAAATTTAATTTATTGGAAGTTTTACTGTATTCCTACAACTAGTCTGATTGCTGCCCTAGTACAGTCAAAGTAATTTTTGTTGGGCTTGGGCTAGAATTTTTTAGAAACTAAGGTTTGGACAAAAGGGCATTTGTAATTTTTGGACACTACGGATATCCTGGTCCAGACCTTTAAAATGGTTTAGTTTAATGTTGTTGTTTTCAGGGGTTTGTTTGAGTCATTTGCATTTGCTTTGGTATGATCTGATTGGTTTATAGTTTTCTGTGGACTGAGTCACAAATTTATTGTCTTCAAAGAGCCGTAGTATGGCATATGGTTATTTTTTCTTCTGTATTCTGTTTTTACCATATCTTAATCTTGAGTTCTGAATTTGAGATGAATTGGCTTGGTACAACTTTTGAATGCTAAAGATACATTTTCCAGCCTTACAATAATCCTTCTAAAACTTACTGGTGTGTTGGTGTTGTGTGAGAATGTAATCACACATCGGAAGTAGAGGAAGACCTGGGCAAGTTTGTAACCCCTAGGCACCCTTTCATAATTGGCTGGCCTTTTGTCCTAGAGGGACCAAGGGCGCTACAAATGGTATTAGAGCTGACTATCTTCGTGATGGGTGGGGCCACGTGTGAGTCTCTATGTCACCCAGATGTATGGGAGCACATGGGAGACATGTAGCACCAGTGTGGTGGGCCCTGTGAGACGCTAGTTCCGCATCAGAATAAGAGGAAAACTGGGTGAGTTTATAACCCCTGGGAAACCTTTTCATAATTGGTTGGCCTTTTGTTCTAGAAGGTTACGGGGAGTTACATGCTGCATCCCTGACAAGGAAGTTATTGGATTTTGGAATTGTAGGAAATTGTGTTCACAACCAAACTAAACTTTATGTTCTATAAAACACCGAAGGAGCTTTGGTACTGATTTTCTGGATTGTTGTCTTGTAATGGTTATGGTCATTGTGAAAGAAGACCATATTTATATGGGAAACATTTATCGGATTGGATTAAATAAATTTGTAACCATGATGTAGGGATTATCTAGAGGAACAATGTCTATTTAGTCAACTGCACCTTGTAAGTGGAAATAGTTAGGTAGCGTTTGATAGGGTTTTCTAAATATGATTTGAGAATAGAGTTGTATTTTGATTTTGTGAGTTTTAGAATTATGATTTGAGTGTAGAAAATTTGTTTGGTTATGAGTTTTAGAGGGAGTTTTGAGTTTTTGAAATTAGAA